GTAGGGAAAAGGAACAGCTTTTAGAATAAGGGTTTGAAACATTGCTTTTTCTGTAGGAAAAAGATGGAGTATTGCATGCTGGGAACAAGTGCTTTCCATAAGGTAGCTAAATTTTAAAAGTACATTTGTTTCATTTTGTTTTAGGCTTTGTTTACGTATTCTAATCGAGTGATTTTGTCCTTTCTGCAGTTTTCATTTTGATTAGACCTCTGCAAAACTCTCTTCTAAGCAAAAATTGAAAAACAAACCTGGGCCACAAGTGCAGTTTGATATTTCTGAAACGTTGATCAATGTGTACAGAAGACTATTTAAAGGATATTAACAATAGTATAAATTCTTTCTGTGGTCTGTTTTGTTTTCCATTATTTTAAAATTGCAGATATTAACACCAGTAAATTTAAAGATGTGAATGTGTTGGATGAGTACAGAGAAATTGCCAAAACAATTTATTAAAAGGTAGTCTTAATTGACACTTTTAAGAAAACAAACAAAAAAACAACAACAAACCAAAAAAACCCACTTGTCGGCAGAAACTCCAAGTAAATAGTCACATTCGTTTTTTCCTTTGTTCTTGAGAATAGCAAGACATAACATACTTGGAGGAAGTTTGAGTCGATGAGTCAGGACTTATTTCATTAACTGCAGTTAAATGTTTTGGCCAGGTTTCCTGAGGAAACAAAGCTTATACAATTTTTCAGATTGTGGCTTGTCTCCTAATCTCCCCTCCCTCCTCCCAGCCAAGAAAACAGTCACCATTTTCAACCAAATTTGGTAGAGATGGAGGTCTTAATAAATAAGATTAAGCACCTTTAAGTTTCATTAGATGATCTCCAGTAAGAGAAGAAACTCAGGTTTGAACATTCACAAGTTGCCTTCACAGCTCTCCTTTCAGCCTGTTCCTTCAATTGGATGCACCAATGCCAAGTGGCTTCTAAAAACTCTGTGGGAGGAGTCTTAAGGAGGAGGGGAAATAAATCACCCTGCTTAGGCTTGGGATTTTAGGAGGCTGACTTTTCAATGTTGGATATGCACCAACTGCAGAGGTACCAGTTAGGTGTGTGCCTGGTGCTGAACACAGCAACTTGCCTCTCATTATCTGATCTGGAGCAAGCAGAGTGTTACTGAGGAGAGAGAAGAAGCAGTAAATTATCTGGGCTTAGACTTTGAAGTATTCATCCCCAAATGAGAATTGTTGGTACCTGAGTGCATGTATAGTATGTTATTCCATGGATACGATATTATTACAGGTACAGCAGCAGCTCATGATGCCCCGTAAAGCTTTTCTTTCCCAGAAAGAAAAGCAGGCTCGTGCCAGGGAAAGGGATATGTTAAAAAAGAGGAGGAGGCGACAAGACTATCTCAAAAGAAGCGTGGAGCCGCAGAAAAATGCAGAGACAATAAAATGGCACAGGGATGATGAGAAGAGGAGAGAAAATGAGCAAGTTAAGGACAAAGATATCAAGAAGCGATGGAGACAGGATGAGAGAGAACGGCGAAAGAATTTGGACGCTATGAATTGGCACAGGGAAGATGAGAAGAGGGAGAATGAGCGAGGTAAGGACCAAGAAGGCCAAGGAGCAGCAAAGAAAGGATGAGGGGGAAAGAGCAACGAAAGGACAGACCTTTTGAAGCAGCAGAAGGGATGATGAGGGGGAGAGGGGAAAATGGAGAACAAGAACAGTTCCATTTTATAATTGTGCAGAATAATGGAAAATATCTGTCTTTGAGTTTAAATTTTGTAGGAACTCTGCCTTAACTGTACTATAGTTCTTACAGAGATAAATATTTTAATAAGGTTGATGGGAGTAGAGATGTAGGCAAACTCCAAAATCACAATGGGATAAAAAAGGCTGGGTTTACACATTGATTATGAAACTGTTTGTTTTGCCCACGTGAGCACACCTAATACTGTCTTCAGCAGCTCAGTTGACAACACAGTGTTTCAGAGCACTAAAACACTCAGGTTTTCTCAGTTTTCGTAATATAAGTAAATGAGAGCATTAGGAAGAGAAGGGTCAAACAAACATGCTCAAAAGAGGAAGGTAAAAACAATGTTTTATTGTTTTCTTTTTAATAATGTGCCCGAGAGAAAGTTGTAATTGCACCCTCAGTTTTATTCCAAGGTAAATTATTTAACAAAAGTTGTATGGAAATGTAGATTTCACAGAGTGCTTTTAAGAAGCAGTCAGTTCAAGAGATGCACATCTCTGTGTCATTAGATCTAGGTGTTGGCATCAGATCCATTGGCATCACATTTGATTTGATAAATTGAGCCAACATCTTGACATTAAATCTGACAAACTGAGAAACAGTAGGTATTTACATGACAGTAGGAAGAGCCCTGGTATTTTTTATTAAACTTTATCTAGGATTTTTCTCTCTGGAGTTATAAAATTGTTTTGGTTTTCTTTGCAGTAGCCCTAAAAGTTAGTTGTAAGCCTGTGAACTGGCAATGGATTTATCCTGGATGAGAGTCTAGTCCTTTGGAAGTCTTTCACTCCTTTTTTTCATTCCATAATAGTGTTTGGCACCCGCTGTTTTGATCAGTTATGATGAAGCAGCCTGGAAGGATGTAGCCACGATAACAGAAGGAAGAGCTGTGTATTTATAAGGCTACTGACTCTTGCGTGGCTCTGTACTGAATGTGGCTGAATAATTTTATTACACAAAAAACACCCCAAATGGTCACCAGAGTGAATGTGCATAAAGCTTTTCTTTTTAATGCAGATCCTTTCAGTTGAGGAAAAAAACCAAACAAATTTAGTGTTTAGGAAGTAGGGTGAGTGGTAAACGTTGCTTATTATGAGCAACTTTATATATTACATTGTGAGGGGAAAATGCTCTCCAATTGAGTTGCCATTTTTCCACCTCTGTTTCTGTGAGGTTTTAATTGTAGGCCTGGGAATCATCAGCTGTTAAACTGTATGTCAAGAAAATTGCAAAATGCATTTTTGCATATAGCTTTTGGGGATTCTGTCAGTGTTTTTTACTTGCCATTTCACAGTGATGCTCTTGACAAACCTTGCTGAGTGAAGACTTCTTCTTCAATGAAATGTTTAGAGTTGCCTACAGTTCTGCACTTGCAGGTCATGGAAGGCTTTCCTGATGGTAGAAAGCAGTGTGGTAGTAAGGAAATTGTGTCCTTTTCAGTTAAGCATAAAGGAGAGGAAAAAAACCTAGAGTAGGTTCTCTAGAAGACCTATGTTATTGCTCTCTTGATTCCTTTACACAGCAAGATTTTTCCTTCAGATTATTTCTTTAAGTCTTAAACTGTTTCTGGGTGAATCCCACCATTGCTAACAAGACTGTGACACAGCAGTATTACCTGCTGCTTGCTAAAGCTGTAAAACTGCTCAGACACGAAAGAAGCATAGTAAGCACATTGAATAATTGTGTCTGGAAATGAATATAACATTTGGAATATTTGCTGGAGATTTCAGTTGAGAGAAAAAGGCTGTCTTTTTTGAAACTGATGCATCTTCCCCAGAATCAGAACAGCATTGTTACCTTGTGAGGCTGAATCTATACACTAGAAGATCCTCTATTTCATTGTTCTAGATAAAGTTGACAGAGCTGAAACAGTTTTAACATCTGTTACCTGATGGTCTCAAAGGAAGCTCTTCTGGTGAGGTCCAGAATACAAAGGACCCACTGGAGATTGAAGATTTTAGTTAAACTAAAGCAGAATCAGCTATTGGGGTCTAAAGACAGGTGGAAGCTTTCTTGTTTTTATCACCTCTGATAATTTGACTGACATAGGGGTTGTTTTTTCCATTTTTCCCTCTTGTGTTCCTTTTCCTCTCACCTGGGTGTGTACCCTTCTGTAAGGTGATAGTTGTCAAGTTGTGAATATAGCATACTGTGTTTGAGATCAGTACATCCCTCATAAGGGAGGACTGTTTGCACGGTCAAAAATATGTAGCATAAGAAAACGTTAAAAAAAAAAAAAAAGTAAATCAGGAATGCAATATTGTATTCTACATTAATTAATCTTCAAAATAATTGCACGGTAATTTTTTTTTAACTCAGTTTTCTAAGTGGTTCCAGTCCCTTGGTAACTGATGTGTAAAAGGGCTGAACTGCATGACCATATTAACTGGAATTTCTTGAAGCTGGTACAGTGAGGATAGTTTATTTTTATTACATGCTGAAAGTGGTTTAAAAATCACTTAGAATAACATGACAGGAGGGTGCATGAGACTTCACATTCTGGATCTTTCTAGAATAGTGCCTGTAATTGTTTTTATCCAGCATTTGAGACACTAGTAAGGGTAGCAAGCTGATGAAAATGCAATCTGGAGATGAAAGTCACTGCAAGTCTATTGAAATGCTAAAATCTGTTAAGAAAAAAAAAAGTGATGTGGAAGAATCTGGAGTTTTTTGAAACTTCTCTGTGACTATGCAGTGGTTAATTTTTAGGCTAGACCTTGTTTCCTTTCTGCTTTTCTGTCATGGCATGCCAATTAGAAGTCTTGATTTCCTGTGTCTTAGGATATATGCACTGTTAAGTTCCTAAAACTAAGCAGAATTTTTCTCTGTGAATGGGTTTCTCCTTCTGTTTACTGAAATTATTTTTCTTTCCTGAATAGTGTTCACAGTAGTGCTCCCGAGAGCATGTAAAGATGTGAAACTATTTTTTCCCCTACAAGTATTTTCATTTACCAAGTATGGCTAGTAAGGGTAGAAAATTGAGTAGAGAAAGAGCTTATTTTGCCAAGAAGCTATACTAACCTTGAAGTGAGGTCCCTTTTTTATTATAGCTGTGAACCTAAAACTAGATTATGTCCTGGCCCATTCCCACTTCAGGTTGTGATTCTACTTAGTGAACTGAGCTGCTGGCTCCTGTAGGCTTCTCAAATTTTGAAAGGCTTTGTAGTAATTTTGTGCCCTAATTTTGAGGTTCTAAGATGCACACATTCAGAACTGCACTTGAGATTAAAATCTTCCTTCCTGGGACTGTCATAGACTGTTAAGGGCCAAAGTCAGTGCTTCAGTTCTCTGAAGCAAGGTACCGTGTACACACTTTGTACGTGATATTAAGTTCTGTGAAGTCTCTTTAACTGTTGTTCCTCTGCTTACCTTGCAAATACTCCTTGCTTTTTCACAAAACCTTCCCTCCCTTCAGATTTTTAGGTGAAGATCTGAAGGGTCTTCACTCAGGCCTTCTTATTGACGTGTGTGCACTAGCTAGAAAACTTGTCTTAGCTTCTGTTCATGCTTTGCATAGTGGCTGTTACCCATAGCAGTGGAATAGTACTGCATGAAGCTTCTTTAAAATAGGCCTTTGCATTTTCAAAATGTGCCTGTGAAATGCAAACTGAAGTGCAGTGCTATGTAATTTAGTAATGATACTTTGCTCTTTTATAGCTTGTCTTTTTTACTTCCATTGGCTACTGAATTTTTCTAGGAATCAGTACCTGGCTGTGGACTAGACATTTATGCTAGGTACTGCACAGATACAGAGCAAAAGGTTTCAAATATTTCTTACACAGGTAGTCTGCTTACTTTGTCATTATTTTGTGACTTGTGCAGTCAGACATTTTGTGTACCTGCACACTAAAGATAAGTGAGATCATATTACTAAATCAGTCTAATTTTATCAGGATTTCCTATAATTATTTCTTATCATTATGTTAGTAATCCATTTTCTTAGGCATGTGAAGATACTACATGGATATTTCTAGTAAGGACATTAAGTATTCATTTATTCTCCACCCAGCATTTTAGTGTAGGTTGATGTGTAATTTGGCTTATGAACAAGGGCTGTCCAGAGTATTTATTTGTAGGTGAGACCTAAGACTAGAAGTAGGAAACAGAAGGGCAGACACAAACTGAAGTCGTGCTATGTTTGTTGAATCATGAGCTTGAAAACAACTGGTTGACTGAAGAGGCAGATCTCATTATTCCTGCTACTTAATGAGGATAAAAAATGCTCAGATTTCTCTGCATAATTATTTTTGCAGAGCACATGTGATGGCTTTGATTTATTTTTCTGTGAATGTGTACGCAGGTGCACATTCCCTTACAAAGAAAAGTTACAGAATGTATTAAATTTCTGGGACTTGTGCTGGAATGAATAGGATAGTGTAGAACCATACAGGAAAATAATGAAAATTAGTTTTGCTTTGGCTACCAAAAAACAGAATACATGGAAATACGGGGTGTCCTGCTAACTAGAATCCTGGGCTGAAATTGTCATTGATTAATTGGTATCATCTCAGGATAAAATAATTCCTGCTTTGTGAAAAAAATAAAACACTGCTGAGCTTCTTTTGAGAGCTACTTTAAATTTTCAAGAGAGAAGTTCTGTACTGAGCCCATAATACTAGGTAAGTAGCACTTCTTTAACCATCAGAAATTCGTACCTGATAGATGGTGTAAAGCTTGAGCTGCTTGTGCCTTTCATTGGTCTTCACTGAAGTGCAGTGTATTTAATACTGTTCACTTCTGGCATTTCAGTAGAAAAACAGGAGAAATAGCATTAAACGATTTAACAGAAGGACCAGTTGATCTCTGACCCTTTGTTATAGGCATCATTCCCTGTGAGGGGTGCTGGATGTAGGAACAGCTTCAGTGCCAGGTGAAAGCACTAGTGGGTTTTGTCAGTACTGGGCACTGCATTCCTTAGCATTGTGTTCTTTTAAAATAAGTGCTTGGCTCTAAGCTTCAGAGCAGTAGGAAGCAGCCCTGACAGTGAGGATGCGCTCTCAAACATCAACTTCTGGTCAGATAAAGAATGCTTTATTTAAAGAATAGCATGAATGATTATTTGAGACACTTCTTAATTCCAGCTATTTTGATGTCCACATTCAAGGATGTATCAGCCAAACTGTGTATATTGCAATTACAATTTGAGTTATCTGCTGTAAATAGAAACTAATGGAGATGCTGAAAGCTTTTTGTAGTCACAAATAATAATATCAGACTACCTGGGTCTCCAATAATTATCATTAAATGGTCAAGAATCTTCATAAATAAAATTAACTATATTTTCCTAAGGCTGATATTTAAGATTAGGTGAGTTAGATTCAGCTATCAAGCAGAATTGGTAAACTAAAATTGATCTTCAGTTTTTAGATGTGAAGATGTAATTATATCCTCTGTTATGATGTGTTGTGATAGTTCGAAGATCTTAATAATTTCTGGTCTTTAAGACTTGACTGGGAAGCAGGCAAGAGGGCAGAGGCAAGAAGATGGGGCAGATAGAATAGAGCAATCGTTTTCAGGCAGTCCTATATAATGTGCTTTCTCTACCACTTGAGTTTATATTTATCATGGTATATTTGGCATGTCTAGGTATACTGGACACAGTAATGAAGAGAAAGCATTTGATTCTTTTGGTGAAGAAGTTGTTACTGGCATTTTGTACTAAAATAACCTGCTTGATAATAAGCATTACATTGACACTTGTGGCTGACTCTCATGTTTACAAGTGATTATTGCCTAAAGGCAAACTTTGCTCTAACTCTCCCTTTGTCGTGAGACAAAAACACTGCTTCTTTACAAGCTAAATGAGAACATTGTTTAGGTGGGAGCTTTAATTTTTGAAGAAAATAGCACAGCTTGCTAAAAGCTTTAAAATGTAATGTTTTCATGCAGTGATGTTTCTGCAGTTAAGACTTAAGAACTTTGTTTTATTCTGGAATAAAATTACTAGGACGTTATCTACTTGGATTTGAAGTTCACTTGAAAGTATTCTTTAGATCATGAACATACTTCACTGCTGCTTCATGGCATTTTTTATGAAAAAATTGAGCACACAGGTAGCTATGAAGAGGTAACTGAAAGCATTTCAGAGCCAGTACAATCCAGTGAAAGCAACACGTATTCAGTTGCCTTGAGACAGAAGGAATTAGCAGAGCCATGATTGATTTCTTGGCTACATTAATATTTTTCACTGGGTCTGTGAACTGCAACAGCAAGAACTTGTAACAAATGATTGTTCTTGAGTTAAAAAATTAATAATTCTGTGCTTTGGAAGCAAATTTGTATTCTTTATTGTAACTTAGTGTTCAGAGCCATGTGTTTAGGGAGGAGAGGTTAAGGAAGCCTACTTGCTTTTCAATTTGTGATCTGTATTTAAGGATACAAATCCACTCTGCAGTATGTGGTATTTTTCCATTTTCCTATTAATGCAGTTCTACTATCACAGAAGTCAGATCTGCTATATAGCTTTAAATAAAGCTTCACATACAGTAAATGAAGGAAACTATATACATTTCTTATTTTACCTACAATTGAATTCAAGAAACATTTTTCTCACTGAAGAGATTCTATTAGATCTATTAAAAGACTGACACAAACCTTGAAGCTCAACTTAGCAATTTTCAAATTAGCTAGGATATGTACGCACAAAAGATAAATTGAGGTTTTATGTACTTTGGCATAGGGGGTAAATTTAATGCAAATACAAACACTTTATTTTTAAAGTTATTTCCAGACACTTTTGATTACTCCTGCAATAGTTGTTATATGGGTTTGTTGGGATTTTAAGTACTCTCTTAAGTTTGTTAATATCTAGCTTTATGGCCAGTCTTATTTAAGAAGAAATTAGACAGAAAATTTGTTAGCTTCTTAGTTAATAGTACAGCTCTGATACTGAGTTATCTGGGTAAAATGAGACACAGAATTACTAATCATTAAAAGTGCAACACTATCAGACAGAACATATTTGACTTAAACCTGTTCTCTTACTTTCTTTTTCAATAGAAACTATGTTCCAACTTCCTGTCAACAACCTTGGCAGTTTAAGAAAGGCCCGGAAAACTGTGAAAAAAATACTTAGTGACATTGGTCTGGAATACTGTAAAGAACATATAGAAGTAAGTATGATACCTCCCAACTGTTGCAGTTAGAGCTAAAATGCTCCAAAGTTAGTGGGACGTTGAGGTCTTCAGTGTATGACATAATTTTTTTCTTTTTCCTAGACCCAATTCAGGAAATGTTAAATTTGTACTGAAAATTTTGAAGGAATCCCCTGTGTCCTGTTCCCATGTCATATTCCTCTGTTCTCATCAGCTTAATGATCTGGGATGTCATTGAAGCCTTGTTCATATGTTGCTGTCCCTGCATAACGTTGTACATGAAGTAGGCTTAAATAATACCTGAGACAAAATGCACCTGTAAATACTTAAAAAGTTTAGTATAGATGAGCTACAGTTCAGGCTGTATGTGGCTGACTTGATAGATATCGAAGGTAGGTTTATGTTGGATTCTTAAAAATAGTACTTGCTAACTGAACATTTAGGAATAAAGCAAGAACTAGGTGTAGTATAGGATGTTCTTGGGGGACAGAAGATGGTTCTGAGGTTTACACAAAGTGTCAGTGCTGCCAGTAGGTCATCAAGTTCAAGAATCACTTCTGTACCTGTGTTCATTCCTAGGAGGGAGGGGTATTTGTGCTACTCTTCTGGACAAACTTCTACGCTTCTGTCTCAAGTGCAGCTTTCTCCTCTGAACACTAACTTCTTTAGTAGGAATTGGCCTTCTCGGACATCATACATGTAGTCACACTTTAAAAACTTGTATCTGGATTCCTGTGAGAAATTATCATAATAAAAAAATCCTGAAAACCAATCAAACAACACATTGTGTGCCCCTGCAAAAAAAAAAACCAAACAAAAACCAAAAACGAATAAAAAGGCAAACATCAGAGTTATGATAAAGCCTCTGTATGATCTTAAATGTTTAGCACTAACCCATGAATACTTTTCTCCATGACTGCTTTTTAAAATGGGGCAGATACGCAATTACAGTCTTGGGTTAATTAGAAGAATGAGTTCTGAAAATAGCTCTTCAGGTTTCATGATACTGAGACTGTTCACAACTCTTCACCTCCAAAGAGGTGCATCTTAAATACCCACCCTCCTTGACTTAATGGGATCTACTGTTTGCCAGCAGCACTTGAGAGAACTGCATGGATGCTGGGAAGAGTTGCTTACGGGAGCGGCTGGTCTTTGGTTTTGATTCTCTGTACTCTTTTCCCATCTTCCCCTTCTGCAGGATTTTAAGCAGTTTGAACCTAATGACTTTTATTTGAAAAACACTACATGGGAAGATGTAGGATTGTGGGACCCATCACTTACAAAAAACCAGGTTGGTAATGGTTTATGTTGACACATCTGATTCTAAAGTTGCTTCACACTAAAGGGTGTTTCACAAATACGCCAAGAGCTCTTTTTGTAGTTTGACCCGTATCAACTATATTTTTTCTTTAAATGTTGCATTATCTGTTTTCATCATCTCAGAAAAGTTAAAATCTGAACCCATCTATCTAACTGCTGCTCTCCCCACTAGTGCTGGAGCTCTGTTAGCTCCCTGCCACATCTGAAGGTTCTCATAATCTGAATCTGAGATTTGGTTTAGGCACCTATAGTTTTATGCAGCAGAATTCATTGGCACTGCAAGTCTTTCTGTTTAGGTGTTTGTAAACCCCAGTAATAAAGGAAATTTGAATTGAGCTGGAAGGGAGGAAATAATACTTAATTCTGATAGAACATGTTTAAGGCAAGTTGTGTGCACTGCAGTAGCCTCTACCAGTGGTACAGTACAGAGTGATACCAGCACTGACAGAACAGTGAGAAGGTGAGAAATCCCTCTACAAAAGAAGCTCTCTTCCAGCATCTGAAAGGTTAGGTGTTGCTTTTACAGGAAATGGGCACCTGTATTATGATGGATTCTAGCGTAGCATTAATCTAAAAATGTCCCTTTATTACTGTGCTTCATAAAATGCACTGATGATGTCCTACTTTTCTAGTTAATTCCAGAATAAAAAATAAGTATAAAAGGAGACAGCTTTTGTTTAGCTTATTTTGTTATACCTTGTATCCAGCCTACCAGATGTCTGAGGCTTCAGGAGGTGGACAGAAGCATATATTCCTACTTACTGATGCAGAGGGAGAAGTGAAACTCTCCAGCTACTTCTAATGATCTGTGTGTAGCTTGATGCACAAGGCTTGTTTTGACATTCTATGAATGAATGATTGTAGCTATTTGAATGTCTTACCTCATCTGAAATGCCAGATTGCTTGTGGCTACTTCAAAGGCCAATGTAACTTTAGTTTCTGTTACAATAGTTGCCAAGAACTTCATCGGCATCATGTTAAATGTAACAAAGATGCAGGGAAACTCCAAGTGTGGACTTTTTTTTTTTTTTCCCCGTCTTTCAAGATTGTTTTAAAAATAAGGTTTGTGGTTTGATCAGAAGGAAAAGGCTTGGTGGCTTTAAGGGCTTGTGTAGCTCAAGTACATTATGGGTTGGTAAGCTTAAACCTGTTCACAAAAAACAAGTTTTAAAGAGCATCTTTTATATTAAAGGTTGTAATGGATCAAGAGACTGAAACAGCTAAGGTTATATATCCATCTTATATCTATAAAAGTTTGGCAGATTTTGATGGGAAGTAACTTGTCTTCTGGATACTGTCTTTTCTCCCAGAAATGAGCTTAAGGTGAACTTTTTCATGCAACGCAGCTGCAAGGAATGAGGGTTGTTTTTTATTTAAAGATGCTTGTGATTTAGCCTGGCATGCCAAGTTCATGGTTAAACTCTTGAGTGACCTCTAAATTGGCACTTGCCACATCATGTGTATGTTCAGATTATAAGCTCCCTAGGACCTGATGGGCAGGTCAAAAATTGGAAAGGAATTAAAGGTTTGAGACTATGGCAACAGATCTTGAGACAATTATTTAGAAACATTATTGCTTAGAGAAGGTCACGGATGTTGGTTTTGGTGTGGTGTGTTTTGTTTTTTTTTTTAACTGCTTTTCAACATTTAGTTTCTGCTTTGTTCTTTGTTTTAAGGACTATCGGACAAAGCCCTTTTGCTGCAGTGCGTGTCCATTTTCCTCGAAGTTCTTTTCAGCCTACAAAAGCCACTTCCGGAATGTTCATAGTGAAGACTTTGAAAATAGGATTCTCCTTAATTGTCCTTACTGTACTTTCAATGCGGACAAAAAGACTCTGGAAACGCACATAAAAATATTTCATGCTCCGAATGCCAGTACACCAAGTGGAGGCATCAGCACTTTTAAAGATAAAAACAAGCATGATAGCCTTAAACCTAAACAGGCTGACAGTGTAGAACAAGCTGTTTATTACTGTAAGAAGTGCACTTACCGAGATCCTCTGTATGAAATAGTTAGAAAGCACATTTACAGGGAACATTTTCAGCATGTTGCTGCTCCTTACGTAGCAAAGGGAGGTGAAAAGTCACTCAATGGTGCAGTTCCATTAAGTTCCAGTACCCGGGAGGAGGGTAGTATTTACTGCAAACGATGCCTTTACATGCCGAGATCGTACGAAGCTTTAGTCCAGCACGTTATCGAAGACCACGAACGTATAGGATACCAGGTTACAGCAATGATAGGTCACACTAATGTAGTGGTCCCAAGATCTAAACCTTTGATGTTAATAGCTCCAAAACCACAGGATAAAAAGCCTATGGGACTGCCTCAAAGGATGGGTCCCCTTTCCCCTGGAAGTGTTCGATCTCTCTCGTCACAGCAGACGATGAACAGACTCACCATACCAAAGCCTACGTTAAATTCTGCAGGAGCAAATATGATGTCAAATGTTCACCTGCAACAAAACAATTATGGAGTCAAATCAGTACCACCAAGTTACGTTGGTCAGCCAGGGGGAAGGCTAAACTTAAGTGGTAATTCACCAGTTTCTATTCCACAGCAATCACAAACAATGAAACAGTTTTCGGCAAGTGGAAATGGAAGGCCTTATACTCTTGGAGGGGAACAGAGATCACAGGCCTCAGCAAGATACTCTCTTCAGTCTGGCAATTCATCTTCTCTTTCATCAGCTCAGTTGAAACAGACATCACTATCTCAGTCTCAGGCAGCTTCAAGAGTATTAGGTCAGTCTGGCTCGAAATCTCCTGTAGCTGCCACAGGTCCTTCCTCTGTCAATACATCATCTACACAGAAGTGGAAAATTTGTACAATCTGTAATGAGCTGTTTCCCGAGAATGTGTATAGTGTCCACTTTGAAAAGGAGCACAAGGCTGAAAAGGTGCCTGCAGTAGCTAACTATATAATGAAAATTCACAATTTCACTAGTAAATGTCTATACTGTAATCGCTATTTACCCACTGATACTTTGCTTAATCATATGTTGATACATGGTCTGTCTTGTCCATATTGCCGGTCCACCTTCAACGATGTTGAAAAGATGGCTGCTCACATGCGAATGGTTCACGTTGATGAAGAGATGGGACCTAAAACTGATTCCACTCTAACTTTTGATTTGACATTACAGCAGGGTAGTCACACAAATATACATCTTCTTGTAACCACCTACAACCTGAGAGATGCTCCTGCTGA